CGCGATCGATATGCTCCTTTGCTGGTCCAGGCGGCGCGTTGACCAGCCTCGCGACGGCAAGGCCGTCGCCCGCCTCCCCAAACAGCGCCACGGGAAGCGAGCACTCCTCGCACGCGCTGACCCCGGACGCGTAGCTGCTGGCGTCCAGCTGCAGCCTGAGGGGGAACGACGGGAAGGGGGGCCGGCTCAGGGGGGGGGGGACATCGCGCTGCAATCGCCGATACATCGCCGATAGATCGGCGATGCGCTCCCCATGGCGAATCCGCACGTTGCTGCGCGGGGTGGGGCATCCGGCCCCTATCGGCGAAGCACGGGGGCTTGGGGCTTTCCTCTCTGAGCCAATCCCCCCCCAGCATTACCCCTCGATTTTCCCGCGGCCGTTCGGGGCGATCCGGGCCCCCCCAGGAGTGCTCTCGGCGAGGCGAAGCTGCTGAAACGTTTCCCGAGGCTGGAAAGCCGCCGAGAACCGAAAACCTGGAACCGCTGAGTCGATCTCCCCCCTGACGTTGCCCCTGTCAGCCTCGACGCCCGCAGCTCGTCGAAGAGCGCCACCACGCGAGGGCCCTGCCCGCCCTCGCTGCACGCGTGCATGCCGACGTTGTAGTTCAGGACCATGTTGTGCTCCGGCTTCGCCCCCCGCAGCTTGCTGAGCAGACGGATTGCGCGCTGCCACTGCCCGGCCCTCTGGAGCGCCTTCAGCCCTGCGGTGCAGCCGTAGCTGACGTCGTGCGGCTCGAAGCTGGCCCCCCACAGCTCAGAGAGCAGCGACAGCGTCTGCCGCCACTGCCCGCCCTTGTGGAGCGCCCTGGCTCCAGCCTCGTAGCTGTACATGACGGCGCCCGGCTCCAAACTCAGTCCCCAAAGCTCGCTGGCCAACGACAGTGCCTGCTTCCACTGCTCCCCCTTCTCGCACGCGCTGATCCCAGCACTGTAGCTGACGACTTCCAGCTCCAGCTTCACGCTCCGCATCTCGTTGAGCAGCGACAGTGCGTGCTGCCACTCTGCCCCCTTCTCGCACGCGCTGATCGCAGCACAATAGCTCACGACGTCAGGCTGGAGACGTGTACTCCATACCTCCCTCAGGAGCGACAGGGCCTGCTGCCATTCCCCACCGTTCTCGCACGCGCTGATCCCAGCGCTGTAGCTGATCAGATTCAACTTGTATCCCTATGTCCAAAGGATGGGGTTCTCGTTATTCCCCATATCCTGAGATGGTTCTTGTTATTACTTAGACCGCGCGGAGCACAGGAACACAGGAAGGAAGGAAATAATGAAGGAAGGAACGCACCTCCGACCCTCAGAATTACTCTGACCGCACCGACGCCTTCGTCAGGTCACCTCCTCCCATCCTTCTTCTCCTTCCCATCCCACTCAGAGTATGATGACGATGCTGATGATGATGATGGTTTTGATGCTGATTGACGGTGGCGATGATGATGGTGGTGATCACGATGATGATGATGCTAATGAGGATGATGAGCATGGTGATGATGCTACTGCTGCTGATGATGAGGATGATGGTAATGATAAGGATAATGACAATGCGAATGCTAATGATGATAATGATGATGACGATGATGATGATGATGATGATGATGATGATGATGATGATGATGATGATGATGATGATGGCAGAACAAATTCTGAGGATGTCTCGAGCGAGGCGCGGGTTTGAGAACCCTCCATGGGGAGCCGCCAGGGGGTATTGCACGGATTCCGTTCGCGCCAAAATTGCGGGGATGTCTCGAATGGTTCGCAAGTTTTGGTGCTCAACATCCTCCGCTTTCGCAACAGATTTCGGAGGATGTCTCGAGTGAGGCGCAGATTTCAGCACCCCCAAGGGGGAGCCGCCAGGGGGTATTGCACTCCTCCGTTCGCGCCAAACTGGCCGGGATGTCTCTCGCAGGGTGCCTGTTTCGGTCAACGTCCTCGGATTTCGGAGCAGATTTGGAGGATGTCTCGGGCGAGGCGCTCATGTTCGCCCCCATCTGGGGCCAGATTTTGAGGATGCCTCGAGCGGTTTGCCTATTTTGCTGGCCAGTCTCGTGGGCACGGATCCTCTTCAGGATGCCACAGGAAGCTCCAGGAGGCCACAGGACGTACCAGGATGTATCAGGATGCCACAGGAGGCTACAGGAGGCTCCATGAGGCTCCAGGAGGCCCCAGGAGGCCCCAAGAAGGCTCCAGGAGGCCCCAGGATGCCACAGGAGACCACAGGAGGCCACAGGAGGCAACAGGAGGCAACAGGAAGCGCCAGAAGGCACCAGGAGGCCCCGAAGGCACCAGAGGGGCCCCAAGAGTCCCCAGGAGCAGGAGGCATCAGAAGGCCATCAATTGTGCTCTCCCTGGAGCACGAATCCTCAGTGTTTCACGTCTGTTTCTATAGATGTAGTTCCCCCTATAGTGTGTTAGTCCTTGGTGATTTAGTGTGCTCCTATAGATTGCCCTTCTCCTGCGGCTCTCGCGGAATGGTGTCGGCCCAACTGGTCGGAACAATGGTGATTGGAGTATGCGCGGTCGATGCGAGACAGGGCGCGCCCCGAATCGCAAGTAGGAGGTGGTTGACGTAACTCGTGGAATCCGTGTGGGCCTGTAAGGTGACTGTTCCAATCTTCCGCCTCGCTGTGGCCCGCGGCGCCTGTCCATAGCCCCAATTGTTTGCACCAGCGGTCTTCCGCCCCAATCACGAAGATCCAGTCTCTTATGAGGAGGATGAGTGTCGAGTCCGCGTCGGCGACCTGGTATGCGAGGTCCTGGGTGAGCTGTTGTCGAGTCCCTGCTTCGCCGTGTCCGGCGGGGTAGTACGCCACGACGATGTCCAGCGCAACGTTGGGCCCACGCAGTGATAAAGTCGCCAAGCGACCGCGAGATATTTCAACCCAGTCCTCGTCCCGTACTGGGTTGAACGAGCGGAGGAAGTGGCTCGTCAGGATGAGGCCGATGCCCGCAGTCCGTCAAGTGTGATGGTGGGACCACAAGGCACGAGCATGCGCTGGTAGCGTGGCCGCTGTCACATGGCCGATCGTGCTGTGGGTCTCACCCAATCCAACGAAATCATGCTTATGCAGCAGATTCCACGCATGTTGCTGCCTGTCCTGCTGAGCGTTGGGGTCGGTGGCGAAGAGGGCCTGGGAGTTCCAATCGGCGCCTCGGTAAGCTCCTGCCTATGGGAAATCGCCTGGTGGGAGTGTCGGAGGTGGAGGAGCAGGAGGGAGATCGTGGGGAGGGTTGTGGGTTCGCGGTCGTCTCGTAGAGCTTGTCTCTGTCGTCTGTGTGTGTGTGTGTGTGTGTGTGTGCGTGCGTGCGTGCGTGCGTGCGTGCGTGCGTGCGTGCGTGCCTGCGTGGGTGTGTGTGTGGGGTAAGTAGGTAGCAGATCACATTCAACTCAGACCTCGCACGCCACAGTTCCCGAAGCAACGACAGCGCCTGCTGCCACTGCCCACCTTTCTCGCACGCGCTGATTCCAGCGGTGTAGCTTAGGACGTCCCCCTGCAACTTAACTTCAAAACATTCCTTCAACAACGACACTGCCTGCTGCCACAGCCCACCTTTCTCGCACGCGCCGATTGCAGAGTTATAGCAGACGATATCTGGCTCCAACTTCCCCTCCTGCAGCGCGGACAACAACGACACCGCCATCTGCCACTGGCCACCTTTCTGGCACGCGCCGATGGCAGTGCTGTAACAGACCAGGGCGAACCTGTGGACGAGTGCTCACGGCCGTGGCCCATGGGTGCGAAACGATCGCCGTGCCCGAGGCCAGAAGCCTCTCGTTCATGAGTCCGATATCGATCTGCGCCGGCCTCCGCCGCGTAGGAAACGGGTCCCCAGGGACTTCCCCCCGCACCAATTCTTCATGCCGAGTCGTTTTCTGACAACCCCTGGGCCTGGGAAGGGGCTGGAGAGGCTGGGCATGGGGCGGCGGAGGGCCCGCCTCGCCGGGCCTCGTCGACGTCGCTCTGCGCCCGCATCCGCCGTGGCGGCAGCGGGTTCCCGAGGCCTTCCCCCGGGGACCAGCTACTCATCCCGAGCCGTTTTCTCCGACGGTCCCCTGGGGAGGGCGACTTATGGGGAGGTTATGCGCGCCGTGGCGCATAACCTCCCTATAAGTCGCCGGGGGGGGGAGGGCGCCCCTCCCCCGGCTCGACGACGTCGTCGAGCCTGGAGGGGTGGGTGGCGGCGGAGGCTCATGGGCCTCCTCGGCAGCGGCCCAGTGCTGCCCCGACGGCTGCGGCTCGAGAGGGCCGCCCCGCTCCCGAGGCCGCTCCTGGCGCTTCCGGCGGCGACCGCCCCCGCCGAGGCGGAGGGAGGCGCCCGCGGTGCCGCTGCCGGCGCCGGCTCGGCCAGGGCTGCGCCGGCAGCCTCGGCCAGCGGGGGCCGAGCAGAGCTTCCTGTTCGAGCTCCCGGGGCCGCCCCCGCAGCCTCCCGAGCGAGGCGCTCGACATGGGGCCTGCGGCGCCCGCGGGGCCCGCTGCACGGGCGCGCCACGCGCGCGGGGCGTGCGCGGCCTCCTTCGTCTGCTCCTCCCCGACCGCACGCCCCGGCGGCGCAGCTCGCTCGGGCATCTGCCACGACGGATCCCGTCGCGGTTGCACGGGGGGTCGCACAGCGAGGAGTCCCCCGCAGGGAGTGGCGCCCCTCCCGCGGGCCAGGCAAGGCCGCGAGGAGGGCGGGGCGTCGGGGCCCCGTGGGCCGGGACACGCTGGGCCCGGGCACGCAACGTCCCTCAAGAGCAAGTGTTCCAGACGGCGGCACGAGCAAAAGACTGCACTGCAGCATCTCCAAGATAAACCCGGACACGGGCCCTGAAAGCCTGCAAGACCCCCCCAAACCCGGACACAGACCCGACTCCTGCAGTGCAGCAAACCAAACGTGCACAGTTGCTGGAGAGTGCTACTTTGCAGAAAAGGTTGTCGTTTCCCTGGTGTTCCGTGTCCTGATTTATCCGTGTCCTGGTCTCCGGGGGCCTGAGGGCTCTGCTCTTCCCCTCGGCCGGCCACGCGCAGTAGTGACCCCGAGCCAGGGTGATCTTCGGTGCACGGCGTGCCGATCGGGGCGCGAGACAGCAGCGGCCACTGCGTGCCCGAGTTTGGCCCCCCGCGCCTCCTCCTCCTCCTCCTCCTCCTCCTCCTCCTCCTCCTCCTCCTCCATCTCCTCCTCTCCTCCCTTCCTCCTCCATCTCCTCCTCCTCCTCCTCCTCCTGCTCTCTCTCCTCCTCCTCCTCCTCCTCCTCCTCCTCCTCCCTCCTCCTCCATCTCCTCCTCCTCTCCTCCTCTCCTCCTACCTCCTCCTCCTGCTCCTCCTCCTCCTCCCTGCTCCTCCTGTCCTCCTCCCTCCTCCTCTCCCTCCCTCCTCCTCTCCTCCCCCCTCCTCCTCCTCCTCCTCCTCCTCTCTTCCTCCTCCTTCTTCGTCTCCTTCTCCTCCTCCTCCTCCTCCTCCTCCTCCTCCTCCTCCTCCTCCTCCTCCCCCTCCTCAAAGGACACGCTTGCGTGGTCTCGAGTCGCCCGGCGGTGACATCTGGCTCCATCCTCGCGCCCACGAGCTCCCTCAGCAGCAGCAGCGCCCGCCGCCACCCCGCGCCCTCCTCGCACGCCGCGGCAGCGATGGCCGCGCCGAAGCTGACGACGGTGGGCACGAACCCCGTCGTCGCTGTCACCTGGGGTATAGTAGACATGTACCACACGAGATCTTGCTGCAAGAAATCGTGGGGCACATTCTTCGCCGATGCCAGAGGGTCCTGAAATGCCCCCGAGCTTCTGTGGGTCCCTGGGGCTATCGGAGTATACGAAACTTCCGTGGGGCAACTGCTGGCAGGCCGATGTCTTATCTGTTGTGCCTACTTGGAGGAACGCAGATCGGCATAAACATAGTTACTATTTCGCAAGTCCGCGCAGATCTCTCGGATCGGCACTGTATCCTCCTCCCTGGCGCGTCGCTGGAAGCGCGGCCAGGGGGACGCAGCGCCGGTCCAAGACATCCGAGCGGACCTCTGGCAGCTGATGCCTGTGCAGGTGCTTGTTCTTCGACCGCTGGGCAGTCGAGAGCTTCTGCTTAGCGCGTCGCAGCGGCGGTCCCCTGCGACACGCTGTGCCTGCGTGTCGCTCCGCTCCGCGGGGCCGGAGGCGGGGGATAACCAAACCCAGGCCTTTGTCGCCCGGATGCGGGGGAGAGCATAGCGTGTCGCGCCGAGGCGCCGTGGGCCAGAACCAGCGGCGCGACACGTTAAGCCACCTTACCTCACCGTATTCATCGTCGCCGTCGTCGTCGCCGTCGTCGTCGTCGTCGTCGCCTTCGCCGTCGTCGTGGTCGCCACCGCCGCCACCGCCGTCGCCGCCGTTGCCGCCGTCGTCGCCGTCGTCGTCGTCGTCGTCTTCGTCGCCGTCGTCGTCCCTTATCCCCTCCCTCCCTCCCTCCCTCCCTCCTCCTCCTCCTCCTCCTTCTCCTCCTCCTCCTCCTGGTCCTCCTGGTCCTCCTGGTCCTCCTCCTCCTCCTCCTCCTCCTCCTCCTCCTCCTCCTCCTCCTCCTCCTCCTCCTCGCCTCGCGTGCCTCCTCCTCATTCTCCAGGAAAAGAGAGAGAGAGAGAGAGAGAGAGAGAGCGGGGAGGCAGGCGAGGCGACGAGCCTCTCTTCACCTCCTCCCCGGGGGCTCCGTCGGGTTCCACAGAGACAGGTCCTCGGGGGGACGGGGCCCCGATGGCGGGACCTCTTCGCTGCGCGCGGCGTGAGGCTGCCCGTCCTCAGCGCCTCCTCCCTCGGGGCCCCGTCTTTGAGCCGCCGACTTGTTTGTTCTCTCCCCTCGGACTGGTCTGCAGGCTATCCCGCACGAGCAGCTTGCGCACGCGACTTCGCAAGGTCTCTGTGCCGTCGCGCGCAAGATCCCGCTCTTCTCGCCGCGCAGAGGGGGCCAGAGCGGGGCGTGCGGCGCAGGCCCCAGTCTGAGCTGCTGGAGGCTCGGTGGTGGTGGTGGTGCTGCTGGACCGTTCTCCTCTCGTGGCGCCTTCGGGGGGCCTTGTCTGCCCCGGAGCGTGGCTAGGTGCGTCGACCCCGCGTCGGTCCGCGTCCAGCCCACGAAGCCACGACGAAGCAGCGTAGAATCCACGACGAATGCCGCATCGAAGCCGCATCGGACATGGGAGGGTACCGCCATTGCAGGACGGACAGTCGTCGGATCTGAGGACAGCACAAGCCACCCCCACCCCCAGCCAGGATCTTCACTTTCGATTTGGTGATCCAGGGGGTCCTGGCTGGGGGTGGGTGTGGTTTTTGAAGCGAAGCCACCCCCGCCCCCAGCCAGGACACTCTGGATCTCAGATCGGGAGTCGGGATCCGAGGAGGAGGAGGAGGAGGAGGAGGAGGAGGAGGAGGAGGAGGAGGAGGAGGAAGAGGAGGAGGAGGAGGGATGATGGTGTATTTGGGTTGTGCTGTCCTCAGGATCAGGGCGAGTGGAGACAACCGCAGCTCAAGATCGGCCCCTGGGCCCTCTCGGGATCCCAGCGCGCCAGATCTCGGAGCCGCGTCCAGCCGTGGCGATCGCCCCCCCATCTCCGAAGGCTGTACTCAGGTCGGGCACGTCCTCCTACAGGCGGAGCTTCGACGGAACATAAAAATAGTAATTCCATATTCTAAAACAGTCAAACTTTCCTCCAATACATATTCTAAAGCAGTAAAACATAAGCATAGTTAAGACATATCCTAAAACAATCATCCCCAGACTGTTTTTGGCTGTTTTTGAAGATTCCTCCTTGCCCGACTTCACCGCTGCCTTCCCTCGCCCTCCTCGGCGACCGGGGCCCCCTGACAGTCGCAGCGTGTCTTCCCCCCCGGATAGGACGAAGCCGAGACCAGGATGAATGCGGGTGAGGGCAACTCGCTTTGGACGCCCGAAATGGGCACGGAAAGAATGGGTACAATGCCCAACAACAAATGTTGTCCCAAACCAACAGCGGCCGCTGTTGGGAAGGCGGCCCTCTGTCTCAAACGGACACAGGCCGCGGCGACACCGACAGCGAGTCCGGTTCAAAATGAACAAGAACTGCTGTTGGGCATTGTACCCATTCTTTCCGTGCCCATGTCGGGCGTCCACAAACTCGAGAATCTCTGAGGTCTGGCGGCTCTGGAGGATGTCTCGGGCGCCGCCGCCTTCTCAGAGCGTTCCGGAACGCTCTGAGAGCGTTCCCGAGCGCTCTGAGAAGGGATTCATCCTCGTCCCAGCCCCGTCCGACTCGAGATCCCCCTGCGCCTCGCTGAGCAGCGTCCCCTGCATCTCGCGGAACAGCGCCAGCGCGTGCTGCCACTGCCCGCCCTTCCTGCAGGCGCTGACCGCGGCGTTGTAGCCGACGGTGTCCGCCTCCAGCCTCGCATCCCGCAGATCGCCGAGGAGCGCGAGCGCCTCCTGCCACCGCCCGCACCTCTCGCACGCGCTGATCCCTGCGTTGCAGCCCACGACGCTGCGCTCCACGCCGGCCGCCCGCTGCTCGCCCAGCAGCGACAAGGCCCACTGCCACTGCCCGCCTCTCCCGCACGCGCTCACCGCGGCACCGTAGCTGACCGCGCTGGGCGTGAGCCGAGCCTCCGAGAGGCCGTGGAACAGCGACAGGGCCTGCTGCCACTGCCCGGCGCCGTGACACGCGCTGATCCCGGCGTTGAAGCTGATGACGTCGGGTTCCAAGCTCGCGTCCGACACCGCGCGGAGCACTGACAGCGCCGCCTGCCACTGCTCGCACTTTTGGCACGCGGCGATCACGGCGTTGTAGCTGACCAAGTTGGGCCCCGTCCTCACCCGCCGCAGCTCGGCGAGCAGCGCCCACGCCTTCTCCCACTGCCTGCCCTTCTCGCACGCGCTGATTCCGGCGTTGAAGCTGATGACGTCGGGCTCCACGCTCACCCGCGGCATCTCGCGCAGCAGCGCCATGGCCAGCCCCCACTGCCGACCGCTCCGGCACGCGGTGATGGCCGCGTTGTAGTGCGCGGTGTCTGGCCGCCCGCGCTGCCGCGACGCTGCCCGGAAGAGCGCCAGGGCCTTGCTCCACTGCCTCGCGTCCCCGAACCTCTTCACCCCCCACGCGAAAGCCTGCGGCCGGTGGCGCCCGTGGCGTCTGCGGCTTCCGCGTCCTTGGCCGCCCCGGCTCTGGGGCACCTCCTGCGGGTCGCGCTGGCCAGCTCGGAGCTCTGTGGGGCCGCACTGGGCCGCCTGGGGGCACCGACGCCCCAGGAGCGCTGCCGCTGCCACCTGCACGCCCCTCTCGCACGCGCTGGCCCCAGCGCTGTAGCTGTTGTCGCCGCCGCGAGGCCGCTGTCGTACCTGTCGCAGTCGGCGTCGTTGTGGTGGTGGTGTTGGTGGTCGTCGTCGTGGGTTGTGGGCACCGGAAGGAAGCTGGCGACGTCGGTAGGACTTACCCGTGGACTTCGCCCACGAAATCTGCACGAACAGGCATCTTTTTGTGGGGCCCGACCTCACATTCCGAGCATGCCACTGCGTGCTGCTTCTTGCTGCCGTTTTTGTTGTACTCTTGGTAGTGCTTGAGGCCGCTGCTGCGTGTTTTTGCTGCTTGTGGTTGCAGGTTGTTGCTGATGGCCAATTCTGCTTGGTGCGTGCTTCTACCCGCTGTGTGTTGCCGCTTTCTGCTACTGTGTGCCGCCGCTGCAGCTGTCTGCTTCGTGCCCACGGGAAGGATCGATGCTGCCACACGGCACTCGAAATATCGCACGGTGGGCTGTGCATGGTCGCTCGCTGGGATCGCGATGCACGTCGTCCTCCACGCGGGCGTGATCCCAGACAACACCCTAGGAGCGTACTTGTTCTAATGGCTCTCTCTGCCTACTCGGTTTCTCTATCATGGGTTTTCTTACGCTCTCAACATGGGGTGGCAAACCCATTCCCTCTTCGGGGGGTACCCTTCTTCCTGTTTTTTTCCTGGCTCCTTCCTGGCGAGGCGGGAACGTGCAACACCCCAGAGTTCTGGGGGAGACCGTTGGGATTCCCTTGGGATCCTTCCTCCCTCTTTGGGCTCCGGGGGCAGGAGGTTGTTGCGCCTGATCACCGCGCGACCTATTCTTGGGCTCTGCACTAGTCTCGCTTCCTGACTTCATGATTCTTCGTGGCCGCCACTCTTCATGGCGTCTCGTAGGGGTTACCCGGATACTCCAGGACAACACTCTAGGAGCCCACTCCTCTCCATGGAGTCCTTTTCCTGGGCGGTGTTAGCCGTAGCGTGGCAGGGGTCTGGGCTCCCCTCCGTGCCCCTCCTCCTCCTCCTCCTCCTCCTCCTCCTCCTCCTCCTCCTCCTCCTCCTCCTCCCCCCTCCTCTTTCCTGCCCTCCCCGTGGCACGAGGTCCCCAGGCCTGCCTCGCAACGGTTCACCCCCCCCTCCTGGGCGGGGGCGTTCTTTTATATCGGGATTGTTTTTCTTGGCTTCAGTGGGCTCTGAGTTGCGTTTACCTGCGCGCGTCTATCCATGAGACCTTGGGAGCGATTGTGCCCACGGATGTGATTCCGGGTCTGTTCGGTCACTGTGCCCGCAAGGCCGAAGCCTACGTGCTGAGGCTGGGACCGGCCTACGTTGCCACGGCCTACATGCCGAAATTATAACCGTCCAGGCCGGCCGCCCTTCTTGAGGGTCCATGTCGTTTGATTCTAACATCCGCTGGAGTTATTACTGCCCAGAGGGTGAAGGTCTTGGCCCCTGTGCACCGATTAGTACACCCTTCATCCCTCGTCTGCAGATGGGTTTGTTTTCTTTGGCCGCCCTGCCA